TAAGGGGATAAAATAGGGAATGAGAGTTTGTATAAATCTTCTTAGCCGTTGAATTTAGAATCATTGAATCTTTTTGAATTACATTCGGTAAAACGATGATTTAGGACCTGGGTAACGTATATGATAGTTTTTTCACAGATGTCTCACGAGAACGGGAACTATGCGTCAATGCCCCAGGACTCTCTAACTCTTAACCACTGAACTTATTCTAGAGAGATTCGGTACAACAATAGTCGATAGAATAGTTTTTATTACTCAAACCTTACGTGATCGGGCACTGCACTGGTAAGATCCCTGCGGGATTATTTATTTATTGAAACTACGATAAATCATTTCAAAATAGGTAAATCTTAATTGATTCTGGTTAATTCTGTCAGAAGTCATTAATCTACGCGGACGAAGTCGCGGGTAACAGCTAGTTTCATATATATATATGCATGCATATATATACCTATATATTTATGTTGTATTTTTATTGTAGTTTACATTTTAAATATTTTTTAGTATCTATATTTATAGTCTATTTATGTAATTTGTTTCTTACAGTTACACATGCCTATTTTTTCGCCGATTTCCTATTTAACCCTAAGGTTGACTGGGAGAGAATGGCATATGGCATTAATGTCCGCCTTATGTACCATCACTTGTTTCTGTTTACATTAAAGTTTAACTCATTGAGTTATATCATTATAGACACAATTAAAGAACAATAGGTTGCGGTCACCGGTGACCGCTTGGTGTTTGACAGTTTAAATAAAATAAAATGAAATGAGTATAAAAAAATGCAACCTGAATATAAAACTTCATAGAAAACACAAGTTGCAGTCTATTTTTCACTCTCAGATGTATGTCAATGACGTTGGACGGACTAAAATTATGAAACAGTACTAGTTCACGTGTGAAGGTCGGACCAAGCGAGAAACGTCCGTGTTTACATATAAACAGAGTACGAAATCGATTTGCAATTGGTGCGCTCATGCAATTGTTTACCAAGGAATGAAAGAAGTGGACACGGTATGAAACAATTTGCTGAAAATTATATTTTGTTCAAAGCAGTTTAAGATTAGAATTGTAAAGATATAAACCATCCTAATCAGTACTAATTACTATCATCTACTATCTATCATTATCCATCTTGTAGATACTAGTAAACATATCACACTCGCGAGAACATTGTGACGCTAGACGCTCGTCAAGTTATCTCATTTAACAAATGCCTTTAATAAGCCTTACTGCATCACACTATAGTTAAATTTGGACAGGCGTAGGATAGTTTGATATGCTGGTCCGGGTACGGCGAGAGGGACTCAGAGGTAGTCTGACTCTTATTGAGTAAAAACCACCCCGTTCGTACTCCTGCACTTCAAACCGGAGCTCCGGCAGCCCGTTAAGTCTTCCGCGGCTCCGTGTCGGCATCAGCCCTATTGGGCACCATCTGTGGTGGTCTGATGGCTCCTTAAGGCCCGCGCGGAACGAGACGCACCGTACGCTCGGGCCTGGTTCTGGTTTGACGGCGAGTTACCCGTGTTGGCCGTGCGCACGCCCGTGCTCGTGAAACAGGAACCTATCGAAACTAAGAAAAAAAATCATCCAATGACTTCTACCGCCCGTGTGAGGCGGAAGGGACTGTCAGACTCTTACTGACTAAAAACCACCCCGTTCGTACTTCTGCACTTCGAGCCGGAGCCCCGGCAACCAGTTAAGTCTTCCGCGGCTCCGTATCGGCATCAGCCCTGTTAGGTCCCATCTGTGGCAGTCTGATGGCTTCTTGAGGCGCGCGCGGAACGCGACGCGCCGTACGCTCGGGCCTGGTTCTGGTCGGGCGGCGAGTCACCCATGCTCGCCGTCCGCAGGCCCGTGCTTACGGTGGCCGGAGATCGTCTCGCGATCCCCGACGCCCGGAGTGTCTCTCGCGACGGCCGGGTCGTGAGGAGGTTCGTTCCCTCACACGCTCTGCCTCCTCCATTTAATATTTCCTATTTCTTTAAATTTTCGCTACCTATATTTACAATTTTTAAATTGTTGGTTTATAGGAGGAGAAGATAATAGCTATAATATGATTTTTTTTCTTTCTTTTTGGTAACGGAGTCTCCAATACAGTGTTGAATATGAATCTTAGTTGCCATTATTTTGCAAATAAAAATGACAATAAATGTCAATGTCATGGTCAATAGCAATTTAGATAAAACTTTGTAATTTAGTCGTATAATAAGAAGTTTTTGACGGAAGTCTCTTATCGTGACTATGGTTTTATACATTAAGTTTCAATTTTAAAAGTTTTTTCATGTATTTCTCAATTATTTTGTATACTTAATCATAGTTTAATTACTTCAACTTGTTTCAAAGGTAAATATTTTTATTTCTTTCATATACCTATTTTAGTTCATGAGTTGTCTATGGCTCCGAATATAGCGTTAATGGGCGAAAATTAAATGAAAGATCGCATTCGAGAATCGTAGTAGACCTAGGTGATTCAGTCGTGTCGCACGCGCGTTACCGGCCACTTTCCTGTTAGTGTTCATTTATTTTTTGAGGGGAGGGCGAGTGCACAGTGCGCTGCGATGATTCTGTACCGCCCCAATATCAGTTGTTTTTTATTCATTACATTCTTTTCAATATTCGGTTTCATTATTTACTCAATATCCAGTATCAAGGTAAGGATTCTCTTGTATTATTTTTTATTCTCTTATAAGATTCCAATAAGCTCACTGTATTTTAGTAATATGAGCCATAGTTTTATGATACTAACAAACCTGACAATTAGTAAGACTTATAAGTGGGCACCCTCGACGGGGTTTTAACCCCTAAGGGGTCAAAACAAGATATTATAGTTAATATGAAAGTCCGTCAATTTAAAAGTAAAATAAACAAAGTTATTTCGGTTAATGTCGTAAAACCGTTTAGTAAAACGAATAAATAAATACGTGTTTCAGGAATTTTGGAAATTTTGTTTAACAAGGTATAAAGAGTTAAATGTTTATATGGACTTGCACTATTTTTGATCTGAGGAACACTAACTTCGTATATGCTAATGATTTAAAACGAATAAATACGCGTTTCACGATTTTGGTAATTTTACTTAATATGTAATTAATAGGGGTCGATATTCGTTATATCGAAAGTTTGTTTTAGAATCAAGTTCCACGCGAGCAAAGACGCGGGAAATAGCTAGTAATACCAATATTTCTGTGACGTCACCAAAATATTTCAACCCGGCGTCACGGGGTCGGGGTCAAAATTAAATGCGGTTTTAGTAATCGCATATAATTTAACGATGATGCACGCGACGTAGCTGTAGATGCATTAATTGAGTCCTTCGATATGTTAATGCCGTGTAATAAATCGGGTGCGTATATAAATTACGTTTGGTGTTTACGAGTGTTGTAACAATGCGAATAAGGTAAAAATGAGCTATAATATAATTAGTACAAATATATTTTAAGCATATTTGTCAAATACGGATTGATGCTATGCGGAAAAATATTATTACAAAATTGATTTCGATATTTTGCTGTCCCGCATTGTTTTGCGGTAGGTATGATGGCCAGTTTACAGGATACAGCCGCGGTATTACGTTATTAGTACCTATGTTTAAATTTTATGCAATCATATTGAAATTAAACTTCCTCAATGAACGGGATTACTTTTAATCACAGTGTTCTAGTTACATGTGTCGATTTTTTTTACTAAGGTTCAATTGACTGCACGGTTGGTGCGGTGGCTGGGCAACCGGCTGCCGTGCAACGTGTCGCGGGTTCGATTCCCGCACGGAACATAAGAACTTTGTGTGATCCACAAATTGTTGTTTCGGGTCTGGGTGTGATGTGTATGTGAACTTGTATGTTTGTAAAGGTACCCACGACACAGGAGAAAATCCTAATGTGGGGCAACGTTTTTAAAAAATAAAAATAAAAATTGTTCATCATCAGTCTTCGATCAACTATACTATAGTTTTATTTAACAAGGTATAAAGAGTTAAAAGTTTATATGGACTTGCACTATTTTGATCTGAGGAACACTAAACTTTGTATTTATGCTAATGATTTAAAACGAATAAATACGCGTTTCACGATATTAGTAGTTTTACATAATATGGGATTAGGTAATAGGGGTCGATATTCGTTGTATCGAAAGTTTGTTGTAGAATCAACTTCCACGCGAGCAAAGACGTGGGAAATAGCTAGTAATACCAATACTCTGTGACGTCACCAAAATATTTCAACCCGGCGTCATGGGGTCGGGGTCAAAATTAAACGCGGTTTTAGTGATCGCATATAATTTAACGATGATGCACGCGACGTTGCTGTTCTTATCAGTAGCTGCAGTAATTGAGTCCTTCGACATGTTAATACCGTGTAATAAATCGGGTGCGTATATAAAATACTGCCTCATTGGTCGAGTGGTCGCAAGTGCGACTGCCGGGCAAGGGGTCTCGGGTTCGATTCCCGGGTCGGGCAAAGTATTACTGGGTTTTAAAAATTCTCAGTAGTAGCACGGAGTCTGGAATGGTGCCCGGTATATGGCAATAGGCTCACCCCCTATTACATGGGACTCATAACATAAATAGTGAAAAGTGGGTGTTACATTGTACAGTGGCATAATGTGCACCTCTGCCTACCCCTTCGGGGATAAAAGGCGTGATGTTATGTTATGTTATGTTATATAAATTACGTTTGGTGTTTACGAGTGTTGTAACAATGCGAATAAGGTAAAAATGAGCAATAATACAATTAGTACAAATATATTATTTAAAGCATATTTGTCAAATACGGATTGATGCCATGCGGAAAAATATTATAATACAAAATTGATTTTGATATTTTGCTGTCCCGCATTGTTTTGCGGTAGGTATGATGGCCAGTTTACAGGATACAGCCGCGGTATTACGTTATTAGTACCTATTTTTAAATTTTATGCAATCATATTGAAATTAAACTTCCTCAATGAACGGGATTACTTTTAATCACAGTGTTCTAGTTACATGTGTTGATTTTTTTTACTAAGTTTCAATTGACTGCACGGTTGGTGCGGTGGCTGGGCAACCGGCTGCCGTGCAACGTGTCGCGGGTTCGATTCCCGCACGGAACATAAGAACTTTGTGTGATCCACAAATTGTTGTTTCGGGTCTGGGTGTGATGTGTATGTGAACTTGTATGTTTGTAAAGGTACCCACGACACAGGAGAAAACCCTAATGTGGGGCAACGTTTTTATAAAATAAAAATTGTTCATCATCAGTCTTCCATCAACTATAGTTACTTATAGTCCATCGGAGTCATCAGCCCGTATTGGTTCCAAACTTCTTTAATAGCACACCACTGCGCTGCTTCTGAGCAAACTCTTCGTATCTAATCACTTACGTCCTTCCTACAAGCGAGAAATACAAAATATATAAGTGTGCGAGAGCCATGTTTAGGCACGAATGGGCCGGCTCGACCGGAGTGATACCATAGACTCACAGAAAACCAACTTGAAACAACACTTGCGTTGTGTTTCGTCAAGTCAATGAGGTTACTGGAGACCCAATTACCTGCCTCGTCAATAGCCCCAATCCCCGAATCTCCAGCAATCCTCAAAATCCCCAAAAGACCGGTAACACACTTGTAACACATCTGGTGTTTCGGGTCATCATAGGCGACGCCGATTGCTTACTATCAGGTGACCCGTTGGCTTGTGTATTGGATGATTCCATAAAAAAAACAATAATCTCATTAAAAGAATTCATTTGAAGACGAGCCAAGTTCTTGCTTTCATTGACTATTCCATTGAAGTGTTTATGGGAGGAAAAATGGGTTTAGGTATAAGATAAAATTTGGATATCATTTCGTAAGCCGGGGCGGGGTGATAAACCGTTGGGATGCCCACGTCATGTCCAATAAGCTTCGACGACGGATAAAAATTCTTCGCACCGACCCTTTCTATCAAAAGGGATAAAACTACACACTTACATTCAGTTTTTATTACACAAAATATACGTATCGAGCTATCGGCTTTTCTGAAATGCATATCGGATATTAAACTATTCACTGGTCAAATTGTGAGTTGATATGGAATGTTAAAAATTAAATGAACTTTGTCAACAACACTAAATCGTTAATTTAGTGTTGTTGACAAAGTTCATTTCCTGAATTGCATGTTCAAATATCATCCCCTAAATTTGTTCATACAAAAGTAGTCTCTAAACATCGGAACTAAGGTCTATTATGTAGTTAGTGGAGAGCAGTCACCGGTGACCGAATATTAATCCTACCGAAAGGCTACTGATTTCATGATAAATTCACCTTACCTTCGACGGAATAAAAACTATTATACTATCTTCCTCAATCTAGTATCTTTTTTGCTGTTGCATTGCGTTGCTATGGTTACGTGACTAATAAACAAAGAGGATGGAGTAAATAATTATATTGTCATTAATTTGCAATTATGTACCCATCTATGAGTTTATACATGTAGTATGACTAGTTTGTACAACATATATATATGTATGTATATCGTATAAGCAATCCATTTGCATATTATAGTGTTTTGTAAATATCGGGGCAGCGCAATGAATATTTTATCAAATACATACTGCTATGCCATGGGGTGGAGTTGGTTTATGGTCAACCTGTCTATTCCTTTCCAGTATTCAGTATTTATTTAATATCACTTCCTGCTTCAGCTTTACTCGGGTATTATTCTTGATATAGTTCAATTTTTATTTCATACTTTTTGTAAAAGTAAATAGTTGTACTATGTTCCATGCAAGGGTTAGTCAATGTATTATATACTAGCGGTTGCCCGCGACTTCGTTCGAATATAAGTTTTAGGACATAATTTTTTTCATAAAACATAGCATATGTTACTCCTTATTACGTCAGCTACTTACCAGTAAAAGTCCCGTCAAAATCAAGCTGGCTATTTCAGAAATTAGCCAGTACAAACACATAGACAGACAGACAAGAATTTAAAAATATGTTTAATATGTTGGTATGGGTATCATATGTAGTAAAATGAGGTTATAAAAATTTAAGTGTCTCTTTGAATTATTCAATATTTCAAACAGACATTTCAATTTTATTTATCCGTATAGATATTGGGTTTTACGAGTTCAGAAATATTTAAATTACAAAAAAGTGATTCTTGTTTATATTTAAAATTGTTTGTTCTCCACAGACCCATCCGTGCCCTTGTCATACAATAACATTTTCTTTTTTTATAGTCAATATTAATTCGGTTCCTGTTAATTGTAGCGTGATGTTCTATAGCCTATAGCCTTCCTAGATAAATTCACTATCCAATACACAAAGAACTTTCCGAATCGGACCAGTAGTTCCTGAGATTAGCGCGTTCAAACAAACAGACAAACAAACAAACAAAATATAAAGATTATAAAGATCATAATATGGGCCTTATAACATGACTGATAAAGGTGGGTAATATATTAGGTATGTCCGCGTAGATGACATGTTTTAGACTATTTAGACATTACGTTTTCGAAAAGAATTATGTATATGGCAGCACAAGTTCATGCCATTATTGACAATAAAGGTCTACAAGTTCATTTTACTCCACGGCAACATGGTTGCAAGCGTATTGATTAGATAATGGTTCAATATCGGGGGTCTGTATCGTAATTATATAGCCATAGCCAATGTATAGGGGCGATGTAGGATCAAAAGTATTAACTCTAAGCCCCATGGTCTGGTCATTCACCTACTTTGACGACAAAGTTTATTACCGATGAACATTATATTTAAAACAATATCTTTCTATTACCTCTAGAAAAACCCTTACACACTGTACACATTAAAATACACAAAGGACAAACATTCAGAAATCGATAGTACAATGGGTACACGGTACAATTATTGAGAGTTTTATGTTTCTTAAAAACGTTTGGTATTATCCTAGAGTTTCGATTGGAAATGTACCCGAAGTATGATATGTATGTGTAAGACGCCCCTGCTATTAAATGAGATCCATCAGCCATGACAATACACTGGTAAAGAACTATCCATGCACGAACTAAAAGGTATGATAAACATAACAAAACATAACATCATGCCTTTTATCCTCGAAGGGGTAGGCAGAGGTGCACATTATACCACTGTACAATGTAACACCCACTTTTCACTATCTATGTTATGAGTCCCATGTAATAGGGGGTGAGCCTATTGCCATATACCGGGCACAGTTCCAGGCTCCGTGCGAGACTGAGATTTTTTTTTAAAAACCCAGTAATACTTTGCCCGGTCCAGGAATCGAACCCACGAGCCCAGTCACAATTGCGACCACTCGGCCAACGAGGCAGTCATCAGTATGATTGTTTATCATACTGATGATGATGACTGCCTCTGTTTATCAGACTGATGATGAATTATAAATATTTTCCGAATAAAATCAATGCATGCCTTTTATTTCCGAAGGCGAAGGCAGAGGTGCACGTTACGGCACTTAATGCCACTGTAGTACAATGTATAAAACCAAAGTCTCCACTGTAGTACAATGTATAAAACTCACAGTATTAACCTATTTCTCATTTAAATTGTGAATACGGTGAACTCTATAAAATTGTATAAGAAAATCTTAATACAAAACCAATTTATAAGTCCCAAATCCCATTTGCCGTAACGTCGGAGCCGGACGTGGACATTGAAAATTCGATCAGCGAAGGAAATTCACTCAGCCTCTGCTCTACACATTATACCCAGAAACTGACTTGACCGGCAACAGGTTCTATACTACTTCAAATATATGAAGGTACTAACTGAAACCTTCAAAATTATTTTGAACTCGCTATATTAAGTCTACCTGTGACGAACTATACTTGTGAGCAAAGAAACTGAGTTTCTTCATTTTCATTTCTAACACTAACGGTAACTTATGTTGTATAAAAGGTAATTTTGTTACATTTAAAATGAGAGCATTCTATTTTAAATTTATAGAACGTTCAATGAAATAAAAAAAATCAAGTGGCTTCCAAGTTTATCTACCGAAACTTAAGAATCGTAATTACTACATAACAGAACATAACATCACGTCTTTTATCCCCGAAGGGGTAGGCAGAGGTGCACATTATACCACTGTACAATGTAACACCCACTTTTCACTATTTATGTTATGAGTCCCATGTAATAGGGGGGGTGATTACTACACTACACTCCTAATTGATGTATTATTGTATTATAACTTAGCAATTATTTAGGTATACCATGGCTATACAATATTATGGTACCATCGAATCGAGTTGGTTTGATGATATAATTGGTGGAAACTGATGGAATCTTGGGCTACCTACCAGTAAAAAGTTTGAGCACATTAGACACGTCCATTTCTTCTGATGACGCTGACATATTTCAGTTGTTCGTTTTTTCAACTACGAATATACATATTTTCCCCTCCCCCTTAACAAATTAGATTCATCCGTGTAGGTTTCCCAGTTTCTTAATGTGTTTCTTATTTTTTTTCAGGGATGGGACAGCAGATCCAATTCAGGTGGTGAGGAGAGTGAAAGTCCACCGCCTGCTCTCATTCCATTGGACGCTGTCTGGCAACCTGTTGGTGGAACTCGGTGAGTTTGTACCATATTCGTTTAATTTTCAAAAATATTGTATGTATGTATATAACCAAGTGACTACCGTGCGGTTTTCACCGGCTGCTGCCATCTATTGGGTATACCGTGACATTTTATAGCCTAGTCTTCCTCGGAAAATGCACTATCCAACACAAAAAATAATTATTTAGTTCGGACCAGTGATTACGAAGGTTAGCACGTTCAGACAAACAAACAAACACGTTCACCTTCAGCTTTAAAGACATACTCATATCTTGTAATATATTGTTACTATATTACTTTTAATCGTAATGCTTAGATAGTTTCTGTCAACAGTCGTATAATTGGCTAGTTTCCTAGGTTTAAAATAAATTGTTTCAACTTTTCAATGCAATAAATAATTAAAAATTAATCATATTCTCATCCATTGATTTGATTTTCTCACTAATTTTAAGGAAATAAGTATGCTATTTGACTCAGAAATATGATGACGTCATAAGTTGCGATCCAATACAAAATTCATAGAAAAGTATCGTTTTTGACATTTCAATAAAATTATTGAATTTGATTAGTTGTCAATACGGTAGGTATTGGTGTAATTAAAACGGATATCAATTAGTACATCTATATTTATATAACAATGTAATCCGTTTCCCGTTGCCACGCCATAACTTAAGAACGGCTAGACTGATTTGGCTGATTATTTTTTGTTGTGTTTGTTATTGTCAGGAGAAGGTTCTTATGATAGAAAAAAAACCTGAAAATCTTATGGGAACGGGAGAAAACAGGATTGCGCGTACTAAGTCGCAGGCAGAAGCTAGTTATTCTTATAACTATATAATACACTTACATAGACCAGCAGAAATGTACGCGAATCGGTCAAAAATCTATAAAACATTTTCATCTTTATCACAAACCTATAAAGTTCAAAATATACGAAAGTTTTCTGTATGTATATATGTAGAATTATATTTCATTAGGAATATAACTTTGGCGTAATTACTGTTATTATTGTTAAAGTTTCGCCATATGTTGAAGTAACAATATTATAAATTAATAACTTTTGTATCTAAGTGTGTATCTATAAATTGCGCAAAAAACTAATTTTAATACCTACGCTTGTCTTCTAATGTAATATGAGACTTCAAATATGACTGAAAGGAGCTAAAAGTTTATTTATTTCAACACAAATCATAACAGATAAAAGGGTGTAATATTGCTCTAACGACTATGATTTTGTATGTTAAACATATCATAGATACATATTATTTATGTATTGTCAGGTATACCAACTAAACGAGCATTTAAAGCTAAACGATCGATCCATATAAATCACTAATGTGAACAACTGTCCATCACTATCCGTTTCACTACAAAATAAACAATTTCAAAATAATATTATTACAGTTAACATAATTCTTCAGGGTCTCGCTGTTTAACAAGAATATTTTACGACCTTGGTAAGATGGATATCATGGCACATGATTTTAAATCCTGTGTAATAGTTAATAGGTACTGTTTTATTACCAGTCATCAGACAATGTGTCGATCACTTCGGAGCAAAGAAATGGCGCCACTAGCGGATGTTCTTTCTCGTTTCTTTATAAATATTTTCTGATATAAGTATTTTATTAATTGGTCACGTATGTAGTATAAAAGACAATACAGTTACCGTGAAAATTAGAGCATTTTGTTGTAAAAAATTGTAGAGGATTTTTTATTTATTTATTTATTCGAAGGAGTACGGCCACATCACAAACATATAACATTCAAAATACACAATAGTAACAAAATAAAGGTCTGATGCATGCGACAATAATGGCGTACATAGCATTGGCAATTCATAGGCTTAACAGTGGCTTAAAAATAAAATCCAATTTGAGAATTATGGAAAAGAAAATAACAACAATAATACGCATTCGGAGGATACGGTAAATTAAAAAAAAAAAAACGTTAGTTCGTCCGTTTCTCATTGCTCCTAAGTGTAGTTATGGATCAAATTAGCAATAATTTACAATACTCGACTCGAGTTGCGAATTAACTTGAGGTTTTAGCCAACTTATGAGTTAGTCACGGTGAAATTGTCATAACAACTTATGGATCAATCATCAGTCTTTCTAATTTTATTTATGGTGCGTTTAACTTGCGTGTGTCGCACGTCCGATGGTTTATCCATTTACAATATTATTTTACAATACAATTCCAATCATTAAAGTCCAATAATTAGGGTTACACCTGCGTTAACGTAAAAATGCTGTTATATCTATATGTATTAGATACAAAATCGAATATTTGTCCCCGAATCGACATAAACGTTTCTGTAATTACATATTGTCACGAAATGAAGGGTTGTCGCTCGTCGCCAAAATATTGTACATTTATGATATTGCTTTTCAAAAATTATATCTTCGTAAATAAAACGAAGACTAGTGTCATCCATGACAGTTATTATCTGTAAAAGAATATAGATGTACTTGTTCAGTTCTATTCATTGTGTAATAAAATATTCACGTAAAGAAACTTCTTCGAGGCTTACAATTTGATAGCGAATGCCAACTTTCTGAGCCCTAGACATAAACATAAACATTTGTTCGTCAGAACCGCGTCTACCATAGAATTTGACATGAACATTTTTATTTCTCTCTTTATATTCTACGTTTTATGAGTACGTTTTGTACTACACCGCGTGTGCGGATTGGGAACTAATAAAATGTTCGAAAAGGAATATGTGGTCAATATCCACTGTACGGAGTTTCCGTAAATAATATATTAGATAATGTTTTATGACGATGATAATGACAATGTGGAAATTGATTAATAGATTATCAATTGACACTATGAGGAGTTTTCGTGTATATACAGATTTTTAATCTAAATTACCATCCCTCATAACTAGAAACATTATTTTGAAATAATATCTAGATTTTTGAATGAAGGTAAATATTTTAGGGCCGATTTTTCCAACGCCAGATAAATTTAAACTGAAGTCCAACTTTGAACATTTGACAATTCTTTCATACCTAAAACTGTCAAATGTCAATTTTAAACTACAGTACAAAATAAAATGATGATTGAAAAATCGGCCCTTTTTAATCTAATTTTATAATTTGTGTTATTTACTTTTTATGGCTATTAAAATACAATTAGGATAGTAGAAGCACTCGCTGACTGGCGCTAATGACTTCTGTGATTTTGTTTTGGTGACAAAACCGTATTTGTATCTATCTGCTGCATGTTGATCGCAAGTCTTGTTTCTATCTATATTTTATGGCTTTGACTTTGCTCATCTTACATACATAACATAACATCACGCCTTTCTTCCCCGAAGGGGTAGGCAGAGGTGCAGATTACGGCACCCAATGCCACGGTACAATGTAACACCCACTTTTCACTATTTATGTTATGAGTCCCATGTAATAGGGGGTGAGCCTATTGCCATATACAAAGCACATTTCCAGACTCCGTGCTATTACTGAAGTTTTTACAAACCTAGTAATACTTTGCCCGACCTGGGAATCGAACCCGAGACCCCTCGCCCGGTAGTCGCACTTGCGACCACTCAGCCAATGAGGCAGTCGTTGTCGAGTCTAACTATCGGAAATAAGGTTTATAATGGAGTGAGTGGAGAGCGGTCAACGGTGACCGATCGAGGATTTAGAAGAGTTAGAACTTAAAAGTGGGCGGGAGGAAACGCCCGGGTGTCATCACTGCGAGGACCGCCCTGAGGACACAGTGGAACACACCGTAGTGGAATGCCCTGCGTGGGCTGAGCATCGCCGTGCCCTCAGGGAAGTAATCGGCGATGGCGACCTCTCCCCGTCCGACCAGAAACAGACCCGAGCGTACGGCGCGTCGCGTTCTGCGCGCGCCTCAAAGAGCCATCAGACCACCACAGATGGGGCCCAATAGGGCCGATGCCGATTCGGAGTCGCGGAGAACCTAACGGGTAACCGGGGCTCCGGCTCGACGTGCAGGAGAAGGAACGGGGTGGTTTTTAGTCAGTAAGAGTCTGACACTCCCTTCCGCCTCACTTAGGCGGGAGCAGTCATTCGATGATTTTCCCCCCTAAAAAAAAGACCTTAATAGTAGTAAAAAGATAAAAACTACATTGTAGTGATTGTTCACTTGTTTAAATTTACGTGTTATTTTACAGTCTACCCCTTCGGGGGTAAAGGGCGTGATGTTATGTTATGTTCCGTAAGTTAGAGACTACTTTTAAATGAATAAATTTTGCGGATTTTTCGTAACCATGGATTATACACGAAGCGTATTGCAATAACCATCTTATATGCTGCGCTAAGATTGATATAAACATCGTATTATGAATTTCTGATCAATAAACATTATTAATAGTTGGGTTTGCACTTGTATTATTATCAACAAATTAGGTACTCGTTACGTCGGTAATACAAAATCTCATATACGTACGTATATAGATAAGCCTAAATGAGCGTAAGTTATCCACCCGGGTATCAGCAGCCATGATGCTTTTATGCATTTTTAACCTCTACTTAACGATGCAATAAAATATTTTTATTTGACGTAAAACAAAAATGTCACAATAGGGATGATGACAAGGTATGAAAGTTAAAAATATAATTAGCTTTATTACATTTTATGACACATAATAATTATTCTAATTAGTCCGTCAGTTAGATAATGTAAAAATATTAGACACGTTTTTTTTTTATTTTGTTGTATAAGAAAACAATACTTAGATAAAATGAATCAAAGTTTAAGAGTGGGAACTAGCTATGTCACTTTAGTTAGAATATAAAACGACATTTCAAATCAAATTATAGTCTAAAGTGTTTGTTTATGTAAGAAAATAAAAAATATGTGTTTAATGTTTTAAAATAATCTATCAGACGGACATCTTAATAAAAATTAGTCATCTACCCTATTTTCAAAGAGCAGATACATAATATATGATTACTATCAAAATTCAAAAGTTTCATAAAAGTAGTAGGTACGGAACAATAAAAATTATAGTTTTATAATCAGTAACAATACCTTCATGTATAAATTGTGAAAACAAGAATCATATTACTTTACTGGACTTCAAAATATCGTTAATGCACGATTTAAGTTAGTCCTGGTACCTATATAAAAATATATACTTGAGTAGAGAAGCGACTGACCGTAGCAGCGCGCTACGCTTTCGTAGCAACAGTATTTGACGCGTAGCGTTCGAAACCTACTTTTATAAAGCCTGAACTGAACTTGATGAAAGTGTTATCCTTATCTTCTATTATTATTCCATTTGCATTATTATGTTTTCGGCTTACTCACGTAACTGTTTGACGAGGAACTCGACTAGTTTCAAGCCATGCTAGGGCCCATATTTTATTCATGAGCATCATTCCGCGATACCCGACTGCTGCAGCAACTTGAGCAGCACAACAGTCGCCGCGTAGCATTTAATTGCCGTCGTTCTATTGATTTTTTTTGACAAACGTCGAGCTCGACAGTATTATAGATTAATGTTAAAGGTACTCATAGTAGTAATACATGTATGTAACTATAGGCTCTTAACCCTTTATTTAATATGAAAGTTTGCAACTTCAAAATTACACAACACTTATGCGTAATATGTGAAGTATGGGCCTTGTTGAGGAAAAGCGCTTGGCGTTCCTGACCCATTAACTAATTAACAAACTTTTACACGCGGTGAAGGGATTTGATAACGCAGGTAAGGGAAATTAAAGCAGCCAATTAATTAGTATGCATGCTTGTAAAAAGTGTTGAATATAATATACTGTTGTCGACTTTTAATTAAATGTTAATTAATGTGCATATTAATGCGAAAAGAGTTTGAATAACCGTTTTATTTTAAATGGAATTAAGTTTATCGTTGTGAGTTGTGAATTTGAATGGAGTATTACTAATTTTAGCGTTGGATGTTGATTCGGTAGTTTCAATTAGAGCGGAACATGATAACAGGGAGTTCACAAGTTCTTATTATTATATTAGAGTTTAGGTCGTATTGTCTTATTCAAAGTTTAAGACTGGGCTATTGTTCGTTCGTCGCTGTGTGTACCTCTTGTTTGTCTGTTAGACTGTTCGCGGTGGTATAACCACGGTGGCAATTGATTTAGAACTGATGAAAAGTCTAAGGACTGAGTACTAAGATAGACATTGACTGAAATATATATAGACGTGTACATGTGTGTGTTTGGTTATTAATGAGTTCAGTAAACAAGGCTAGAAATCACGCCATTGGGACTTTAGTTTGAGCAAACATTGTGTACCTATGCTTTATTGTTTGATCGATAGTATACGTATACCTTAATGCATTTGTAATTAACTTGTCATATGTAAATAATGGTGTGCTATAAATGTATATAAGAGAAAGTCGTGTGTTAGGTACACTATTTTTAACTCAAAAACGGTTGAATCGATTTTGGCTGGTAGTTGGTTACCTAGTTAGAGCTAGGAGACGGACATAGGATGTGTATATCCAAAGATTTTTCCAAAAATATTAGAGGAACGGGAAACAACGGGATTGTGCATACGACGTTGCGAGTAGATGCTAGTAATATATGAACTTTATCCTATAAGTAACTTAATATTAAACACTTAATTAAAGTTAATAATAATCTTCGACATTCTTAAGTCTTTTGGTCATACCATAGTGCAATGATAATACATATAATCACCGCCAATTAAATTAGCCTTTTTCCTGGGAAGATTAAAAAAAAATCCGCTAGGGGCAGCACCGGTGGGGGGGTACATATGTTTTGAATTCTCTATTGACAACAACGTCAAACGTGTATTAAAATTTTTTTTATCACAATATTTATTTATTCTGATAATAAGACGTACGTTTGACGTTGTTGTCAATAGAGAATTCAAAACATATGTACCCCCCCACCGGTGCTGCCCCTAGCGGATTTTTTTTTAATCTTCCCAGGAAAAAGGCTAATTGTACTAACACAATCGGAGACCGTTTGATAAACTAAAAGCTGTTCATTACGTTCCTGATTCATGTTGTATATAATAAAGACATGACATAACATCACGCCTTTTATCGCGAAGGGGTAGGCAGAGGTGCACATTACGGCACTTAATGCCACTGAGTCCTATGTAATAGGGGGTGAGCCTATTGCTTTTGCAGTATATAGTAGTAATACTTTGCCCCATTCGGCCAATGAGGCAGTAGAATAAAGATCTACAGTTTTACATCAACGAGTACTACTGTTGTTGTTATTTTACAGCTACGAGTAGGTCATCACAAAAGAGCCACGTTGAAATACAGAATTCCAGACGTCACTGCACTGAATAAAATATGAAATTCTTTACTGCGCTCTATTTTGAACATATCTCTATGTAGCCAGAAATAAAACTAGCACAACACACATAGGTTACCTAAAAGCGTGGTCCGAAATGAACCTAAAAATGTATGTAGATTTTTTGTTGCTTTAATTACTTTTTTTTTCGTAATGTGGCTACATTCTCTAGTTTTTTATTTTTCATGTGTTTGTTTGTTTTATTTTTTTATTATTTTGTTAGTGCTGAGATGATGATGAGTTTTTGATACGAAAACAACGTAGTAGGTAGTTTTTCAATCTTTAAAAATATTGTTTGGGAGAGCCATGCTTCGACACGAATGGGCCGGCTTGACCAGAGTGATACCACGGCATCACAGAAAACCGACGTGAAGCAACGCTTGCGTTGTGTTTCGTCGTGTGAGTGAGGTTACCGGAGGTCCGATTACATTCCCCTTCCCCAATCTCCCCAATTACTGAATCCCCAACGATCCTCAAACTCTAATCCCCATAAGGCCGATAACGCACTTGTAACGCCTCTGGTGTCCAGGTGTCCATGGGCGACGCCGATTGCTTACCATCAGGTGATCCGTCTGCTCGTTTACCGGCTTATGCCATAAAAAAATATTGCGTCATACAATGTTACATTAAAATAGCACAAATGTAGCATGTTTATTCTGTTACTATTCCAGTCATTAATAGTTAACAAAATCTTGTTGGTAAAACAACTCAAGTCAGAACAAAAGGGAAGGGCTTAAAATATCACGAATAAAACCTTTCCGTCCCATATGGGACTGTTCTGGCGTCTTGCCAGCACCAGGCTATATGAACATTAGCCGTTTTATTTACAAACATTATTTACCTAAATAATAGGCTAAAAAACTTTTTCCGATGTTAGCCAAATGTTGTTGCGGAAATATTTATTGAGCTTAAACTGTTTTTTGGGGTGCAGTTTTGTATTTGTATAGAAATACAGAGGTATGGATAAGTTGTGTAAACTGTAAACTGACTGTAAACCGACACATGCGTACTGCCTTCAGAACGGGTCCGCTCAAACTGTTGTGGTTCTTTCCTCAAAAGCCACTACAGAAAGAACTTGCACGGTTCTCACACATAATCTTTTTATACATATTTGTCTGGACTTTAAAAGAGACAGACCTCTGAGTTTGTTTCGGCATTTCTTCTCAGAGTAGTCAGTTAGGAAATGTCGACCTCATCGTTCGCTTGACATAATTGACGTGTAAAAGTGCTGCCTTGTAGCGTATTTGCAGAAATAAATTCACTTGATTCACTTGTTTCACTTGTTTCACTTGTTTCACTTGTTTCACTTGTTTCACTTGTTTCACTTGTTTCACTTGTTTCACTTGTTTCACTTGTTTCACTTGTTTCACTTGTTTCACTTGTTTCACTTGTTTCACTTGTTTCACTTGTTTCACTTGTTTCACTTGTTTCACTTGTTTCACTTGTGGTAGGTACACAGTTATACGGCATAAAATTTCGTAAAAGTTCCTTTTGAGTCAAGGTTTGGTTAAGAGCGCAGAGACGTGGCTTTAATATTTTTCTACTATTAGACCATTGGGTTCCGATTACGTGAGGAACAAATCGCTTTTCTCGGACGAAACGACTGCCATCTGCCCTCCACAACTCTCTAGAACATTCTAGTTGTGTCATTCGGATTTGTGACGAGCAGTAACGATTTTTACAAGACTTAGCAGTATCCCTTGCTTACTGAGGTTCGTTTGGTAGAAAAAATGTAGAAATTATATCGGATTGTTTGAGTTATGATAGTTATTCTGTATATAAATAAGTATCAAACGTATTCGAAAAAAAAAAATAATGGAGTGATTGATTCAATACATTGCACGAAAATACTACTAATATTATAAATGCAAAAGTTTAAATGTTTGTTTGTTGCTCTACTCATAACATAACATCACGCCTTTTATCCCCGAAGGGGTAGGCAAGGGTGCACATTATGCCAATGTACAATGTAACACCCACATTTCACTATTTATGTTACGAGTCCCATGTAATAGGGGTGAGCCTATTGCCATATACCGGGCACAATTCCACACTCCGTGCTACTACTGACATTTTTTTTAAAACCCTGTAATACTTTGCTCGACCCAGGAATCGAACCCGAGACCTCTTGCCCGGCAGTCGCACTTGCGACTACTCGGCCAATGAGGCAGTCTTGCTTTACTCTTTTACGTCATAACGGGTGTAGGGTTATCGAGATGAAATTTGGAACAGCGGTAAATTACCGCATATAGAATAACACATAGCTAGTACTAGAGGCTTCCGTGACACTAGAAAAGAAAATATGAGAAAAGCAGAAGGCAAGTTGTCTATGTGTTTTTACTGTCTTTCTATTGTATTTGTCCTATGTCTTTATTGTAGGTCTAAATCAATGACTAATCCTTACTAGCGAAGACGTTAGTAGCAACTCGGTTCTGCTCCGTAACTAATTCGAATAAGTACCGATTACGAAGTCTACACAATACCTACATATGAACGATGGTTAATCGATTAGACCAATATAAGATTTTTCGAAGAAATCTATAGTCTATATTGTTAAATTATTCATGGCGATAAATTATACGTAGGTAATGTACTGGTAACCTGTGCCTATGATATCAAAATCGATTATAAAACCTGTGTGTGACTAAATTTATTAATATTCTAATACGGTTGATTAAGGAGTTCTTTAAAACTAATGTCGCAAGTGCGACTGCCGGGTAAGGGGTCTCGGGTTCGATTCCCGGGTCGTGCAAAGTATTACTGGGTTTTTAAAAATCTCAGTAGTAGCACGGAGTCTGGAAATGTGTCCGGTATATGGCAATAGGCTCACCCCCTATTACATGGGACTCATAACATAAATAGTGAAAAGTGGGTGTTACATTGTACAGTGCCATTAAGTGCCGAAATGTGCACCTCTGTCTACCCCTTCGGGGATAAAAAGGCGTGATGTTATGTTATGTTAAAACTAATTTATTAATGCAATACGTATTCCATGAACCTGATGATAGACTGAAACTTAGTTTTCCTATTTCATTTCAATGTTCAAGTGATTTTGGCGAGTTTTTAAGTTTAATTTGGAGTAGAACATTTTATTGCAACTCAATTTTTAAGGTGGAGACGTTTTTGTGCACAACAAATATTTAGTTCCAAAGATTTTATTATGTTTCTTTGGAAAACGTTTACTTCAGCGCCAAAATGAACTCCAAATGGTTCACTATGCAACGAATGTATTTGACTGTAGGCGTCGGTATTAGATAATACGATATAATAAATTCAAGAGACAGAGACAGAGACAGAGAGAAAGAGAGAGATAGATAGAGTTCATTGCATTGAGAATTCATTCAACGAGATTGTGTACAGGAACTGTCGACGTGACGACCGGCTACAATTAGAATATGACGTTTACAAGTATTACTCAGTAATGTATCTTATAAACAGCTTATAAATAACGAGATGATGAAGGTAATCTAAACAACAATTGTGGTTTCAACTTCAACTGAAATGCGTTAAATTGTTACTGAATAGGGCCTATATTATCTAGTATTAGGTATGTTATATTATCTATTATATATCTTTCATAACACAGTTTTCCATAATCCCCACTATACGGTATTTTACACTATGCAGGAAAAAATATAAAAGTGAATGTTTATTATAGATTTCGTATAATGTAAACGAAAAATGTGATTGATTTATAAAAATGCATTATTAGTTTTATATTTCTAATTTTAAAATAGACATTTTAAATCTGTTTTTGAAATGTCAAAAATACTATTCGCCATATTGGATACCGACGTGACGTCACTCCGATAGTAAACACATTGTCGTGTTTTGGGAAGATTTGTAGAAAAAAGTTTATGGTCGCTAACAAGATCGTATGGAGCTTAGAGTATTTAACCCTTTAATTAAATAATCTAAGGTATGGACTGACTTCACAAGTCAAAGCAGCATGGCGGCTACTGATCGCGCGCTATTTCAAAATCATTAATAAAAACTAGGTTTCATGACATTTCGGTAATAGAAAATACGTTTTCAAAAAAGTGCGTAAGTGCATAATAAATAGCCTATTAACCAACCAGGGTTTTATAGTTAAATTTCTGATAGTTTATACAGATTGTTGTTGTTTAATTTGTATGGGAATTTTGGCATGATATTTTATTTTATATTCCTCTAGAGTATGGAATTATGTACTAACCACAAATCAGAATTCCGTACAGAGGAATCCGATACCAAAACCTATGATACTTTGCCGCTCGCAACCGCTTGACTAACGAGGCACCCAATTAAACAGATTATTCATTGATATATTTATTTACTAGCTTCCCCTACGCGGTTTTAATAGCTCTGCTCTTTATTGATCGTTGCGTGTTGTTTTAAAGCCTTTCTCGATAAACGCAATATCCAACACAAAAAGAGTTATTTAAATCAGACCAGTAGTTATGAAGATTAGCGTGTTCAATCAAATAAACAAAACAAACAACAATTGGAAAAATATACGCAGAATATGTCCCCTAACCTGTACGGTACGCTTACGGAAGCAGGCTCCTTTACAATCCCTATGTCACCCGCTAGTAACATTATATCAAATTTCTTATGAAAGGGAGGTTTAATTAAACAGAGGTGTGCTCTAATTTTGATAGGAATCTAGAATCTAAGCAATCTAATCTAAGAAAAGTCGATATAAAAATTCGTAGAAATAATTTTCAAAGTTTATAAGAGTTGTCTCAAAGTACCAAATAATCGACGTCATAATGAGGTAGATGCAAGTAATAAGTGTATAGTAATCGTATTTATTTTACGAGCATAAACGTTATATGGCTCACCCATTTGCCGTTTTACATGTCATTGAATAAGAGAACTGAGTAATAACAAGTTTTATTCATCGGAGCCATATTTTAGCTAAATTCAAAGGCAGACAGGACAAGCAAATACGGGTCACGTAATAAAATGTTAAGCAGAATAAAGACTTGTTGTGACACATTAAATACCGCGACGGAAATAGAAATTCCTACCCTTAGAGAATTTTCATTTGCCTTGTTTCGATATTGAAGTATGAATAAGACAATGTGTATGTAAGTTTAGTTTAAATTAGAAAAAGTTGTATGTTTTTTATTGAAGTAATTTCTTTCTCAGCTTCATTGACTTAGTGGTCACAAGTGTTACAGTTGAACAAAGGGTTTTGAGTATGGTGTTTGGTTCGCGAAGGTATGGTATTTACGGCATGTACTGTAACTATATATCTCAAAGTATTATTGTAACTTTTTTGGTTTATTTTGTCTATATAGCAGATGTCACAAAAATGTCTTAT